GGGATCTTCAGTGGGAGGGATGGGGCGAGACGGGCCATTTGAAAAATATTATACCCTAGTGGAGCAGCTGGTTAGAAGAGGACAGGATGTTAAAATAAAAGGTGATGCAATTTAATAAGACTTTTCCTCAGCTGCTATAAATTCAGGTTCCACTGAAGCTTGTGGAACGCCTGTGTTCTGTAAGAGCTATGATTACTGTCTCTTAGCTCTGTGTGCAACAGGTCCTACCTTCTCTGTGCTTCTGCTCACTGTGGAAAGGCTTAGAGCTTAGACTACTTAGGCTAAGTTTAGGCTTTCACTACTTTATCATAGTCAAAGTGACAGCGCTTGCTTCCACAGCGCCCCAGGTCCGTAATGTCCTTTACCTTCAGGTGTCCAATGACAAACTTGTGGACGATGTGGTTCCAGGAAGACTTCTTAAAGACAGAGAGGTGTCCAAAATCATGTTGCAGCCACCCTGCCTGAGCCTGGGATGAAGGGAAATCAAGTAGTTAGGAAGCTGTTTGAAACCAGAATTAAGCGCCCGAGGAAATGGGGATAGAAGGGAAGTTGTGAGTGTGAGGAGGAGAGGGAATTAACTGAAGTGAGAAGGTGAAGATCTCTGTTTTCATTCTGGAGGGGAACATAGAATCATTTAGGTTGGAAAACACCCTTAAGATCAAGTCCAGCCATAAACCTGATACTACCAAGTCCACCAACACGTGGAAGGAAAGGCCAAAGAGGTGAGAAAAGTATGTGAGCCACACTCAGCAGCGGGCTCAGGTGGCCAGAAGGTGGCTGGTACATTGTGAATATTTTTCACTGGTGTGAATATTTTGCACTGGTAATTGACCTAATATGAGAAGCTCAGTGCAAAAAGGGCTTCTCCTGGGTGATTTGTGTGGCCAGGACGCTCTGAGCCTCCTACTTCTCACCTGGGAAGTTGTCAGGATGAAGGCGAGGATGAGAGTTGTGATCCAGCCAGTCCCGAAGTATGAAAGCATTAGCCAAGCCACAACTTCCATTGCAATTATGTGGCCCAAGTAAAGAGAGAAGAACAAAGGGTTTGCTCGGAACAAGTTCATCTCCTCTGCCGTCTTCCTCAGGGTCCGAAAATCCTCCACCAGCTGGGACTGCAAAATAGATGTGCAGGACACACACAATGAAGCGTGTAAGTACGTCTGAATGAGGCTGAGGAAGGAAGACCAAGCTCCACACGCAGGACCCTGGCTGTTTCTTGCGTTGGTGGTCTCCTCCAGAAGTAAGAAAGGACCTGCCACCCTATTCACCCTGTGTTCTAGCTTTTCATAGCACTTAAATATGAATAAACATCCTGGCTGGTTTGAACCCACATCCTGACCTTTTGCACCTTGAGCCAGGAGAGTAATTCAAGCCTGCTGCTGGGAATCAGCAGCACTACCTGGCTCTGCTGAGAGTGGTATCAGCCAGTGACTCTCGTCTGAATGAGCTTTATGAGTATTAAAGAGGCAGCTGGAGAAGGAGATAATTCAGCCCTGTTGCTTAACGCATAAGTCCAGAGCGCCGACGATGAGCACCCAGCATCCCACCATCTATTTAATACATGGCTCAGCTACGGCGCAATCATCCAGGAAGAAAAATGAGGGTTACCATCGTCTCTTCTGTTGTGGGTGACACAGATATACTGGAACCACGGCCAGTCCCAAACAACAGGACAGGATTGAGTTTCGTGGCAAGAGCGAGTCACGCCGTGCTCTGCGCCTGAATAATGAATGAACGGGCTGTCTGGGAGGGCTGCGGAGCTGCCTCGAGGATGTTGAGCAGGTGGAAAAATGTACGTGCTGGGTTCCTGCCCCTGAGGACCAGCCACTGGAATGAGACATCTGGTTGACCTCACCCATAGGTGCCAACAGCCCGTGCCATTCCTGGCTGCTCTCCAGAGTTTGCTGGTACCAGGCTCAGCAGGACAAGCCACTTTGAGTCTCAAAAAGGGGTTTTCATGGGTATAATCCGAAGTGTCAAGTCTTGTGGAGGTGATGAGCAACTTGTCTGGAAGTCTTTTCTGATTTTTTTGCCCATTCCTCTCCTTCCTCCATAACAGGCAAATGACAACATGTATTTTAGAGCTTGGTCACCAGAGGAGGAGCAGCAGAAGGGATACGAGACACAACAGCTGGTGCATATTTCCCAGCCCACACATCTCAGTTCTCATTTCCCTGCAGTACAGTCCAGCCTGGGCACTGGGAATGGGCTGCTAGAACTGGGACATGATTGCCACGAGCAGTGGCTCTGTGGGAAAGCAAAGGCTTGTGGAGCCATGCTGTGTCCCTCCCAGACACATTTTAACCTGGGATGGACACATTGCTACGTGGAGGTATTCAGATAACGAGTATTCTCCTTCTCTGGAGCTGCTTGTAGGGATTATAACCCGCTGCCTCCGACGTGGAGGACATCCCGAGAATCAAAAAATAAGTGGTGGAACATACTCATCAGAAACACCAGCTCAGAAACCAATACTCACGTTTTTATCTCGGTCGTGGCTCGGTTCCCCTGGAGCAAGCTCTCCAATAAGTAATGGCTTGAGAAACTTTTTCACCAAGGTGGGATTGATATGGAAGGCCTGGAACGCATCCTGGAGTGGAAATAAGGAGTAACCGTGTGAGATGAGGAGCAAGCTGCTGCTTCCTACCCATTGTGTCACTCCTATCCACCTCCAGCACTGTCCTCTGAGGTCATCCCCCGCCACATCACTGGGAAAAAGGGTGCCAGCCTGATGTCCACCTCTGAGATCGCTGTTTCTACTAGAGGCTGGTGAATTTGCTTATCTAGGAGGAAGCCAACAGCAAGAGCTGGGATGCTACCTAGCCATATGGTGAAAGGCACCTCAAGACACTTTTTTTCTAAGCAACTAAATACGTAAATCCGGTTAATTCCCTTAGAAGGCAGGCAGGGAGGAATTTGTGCAAATCCCCACCAGGATATAAATACCCTTGGAAAGTCGGCTGCTGCAGGCAGGTCAAGAGAGGAGGTGACTGGGGTGACTGAACCTCAGTTACAAAAAATATTACTGGATGTTTTGGCCAGACCTGACGGCAGCTGAGGAAAAAGTTGTGACTCTTGATTTTGGAGACTGCGTTTCTCTTTTTGTTCTGTCAAATGGGTAATTGAATGCTACTTTAATTCTTCTTTATTCTAGAACCATATTCTAGATACAGAGGCAACTCCAAGTGCAAGTCCAAGTAAAATGTCTTAGAGAGGAACCAAACCGAAAACTCGGTTGTATACCAGAACTTTAAACTTTAATCTTCAAGTGCTTGCTGTCAAACTTCGCAGTGGACCCCATCCAAAAAGGGACCTACACCACAAAGCAACTTTATTCATTACTCTGAAATATGCTGAGGAGTTTAACGGTCTTGAGGAAGAGCTGATAATTATCAATCCATGTGGTAAGGTTTCTTGCATATTTTCTATTCAGTACATGCCTTGAACGTTGGGTAAAAAAGAAAGAAAAAAAAAACCCAGTCAAAACTAGAAGTCAGGAGTGCCATGTTTCAGCCTTTCCACCTTTGTCCCATTGCCTAACACTTGTAGGGACCAACTAAAATCTCCTTTCTGGCTCTAAAGAGGAAGGGCAGGCTGGAAAGGGCTCACTGTGTCCAGCTGACCCTTCTGGGAGTTGACCTCCCTCTGAAACTCCAGCCAGAGTCCACCAAAATCAATACAAACTTTCACCTGGTTCCAAAGGCTTTGGACTGAGCTTCAGAATAGTGCTCTGAGCACAGAAGATTTGCTGTGGGAGGTGCGTAAAAAGGGAGAATGAAAGTCGATCTGAGCCATTTAACTTGAAGTTCAAGAATGGATATATGAGAAGTGAGACGCGCAGCACAGGGGGTGAGGGAAGAGCTGCAGGTGCAGGAGAGAAGTAGAGTTCTGCGGAATGATTGAAAGGTTATAAAAGCCACAAAATGCCCGAGGCTATGGGGGAAGAAAGGAGGAAGGGGAGGGGGGAAGTAATTTCAATGGAAAAGTCAAACTGAAATGCCAGAAATGAAGCCGAGGTGTGTTTTTTCTGCAAAGCACCACAATTTCCCGGTGCCCCTCAGCTCTCACGCCAGCACCCAAGTTCTCCCCTTTTGTAACCAACTTCAGGGACAAAGCAATCCCTGTTGCTGCAGGGAGAAGCTTGGGTCCTTCCCAGTGCATCACTGGCAAAACTCTTCCCAGCAGGAGCAAGACCAGTGCTCTTTGACTGCATCGCCTTAGCCACTGGTGTTACTTTATTGGTGCCAAAATGAAGGTAAGAAAAGCTGTTTCTAGAGCCCTGTGCTGCAGACAGTTTGGATCTTCCCATGTAAAGACATGCTTGTCCTCAATAAACAGCCTCCTTCTCTACTTTGAGGAATTTAACTTGCTCTGCCATTATTTGTGTATGCTTCACCCTCTCGGGTGTTATTCTCTCAGCCCATCCGAGGTTTGAAAAAACCAGTCCTGTCCCTTTGATGGTGGGGTGATACACGAAAGGACTGACTTGCCCAAGGTTACAACTGGTAGCAGACCAGCCTTTACTAGTGGTTCAGTTATTGTGGCATTTTCTGCTCTCAAACCCAGAGATGTGTCACTGAAATGTTAGGTGTCGTTGCAAATCTTCTTCCCTGGTACAATTTGCAGACCATGTGGAAGAGGAGGGAGGAGCGGAATGAGTGGGGTAGCGAATAGCTGGCTGTACCTGCTGCAAAGATTTGCAATTTAGGGGCAAAAAAAAAGGAGAAGAAGGGGAAAGAGGGTAAACACATAAGAAGCATTAAGGAGTGTTGACTTAATATTATTTGAGCTAATGGGGAAGAAAAGGTGTTGGGAGGTCTGACCAGGTACCACCTGATCACTGTGCTGATCCGTGTTGTATTAATTGGGGGGTGACTCAGAGCAGCAGCTCCTCCTGGGTCTTCCCTGCCAGCAGCTTATCTGTTCTCTAGACATGCTTATAAATGCTCTGTCACAACTTTTCCAGGGAGAGTTCTCTGCCTCTGAACTTAGTAGCCTCGCTTCCTTCTGGATAGGATGAAAAGCAAAGGCTGGAACTGGTCAGAAATGCCATCACACATGTGAAAACATGGTTGTTACTTGAAACTACACAACCTGTCTTCCACTTCACAGCTATTGCAAGCCTGTGCCATAAAGGCAATACTGGAAGTAGGAAAGTTTTACTGTTATGGCACTGACATATGTAGACAATGGGCTTTTCCAGTAGAACCTCCAAGCAGGAGAAAGAAGAGTATCTTCTGAACATTCCTACCATCATCTGCCTGAATTTTGGAATTGTCCTCAGTTCTGCACTGGAAGAGATAAAAAGCAAAAGGCAAAAGACGGTCTCTGAGAAGTGCCATGTGAGGTTCACACCTCACCTCCCACCTTCGTGGTCTACTGGCCAAATGAGCTGAGGTGTCTTATGGGAAGTGGGAATTATTCCAGCTGCTTTTGGGGAAAAAGAAAAAAAAAAAGCTTCATACTGAGGTATGAACTGTACTTGAAGCACTTGGTGCAGTCAGTACAAGGATATTCTTTCACATCTTTAAACATCTTTGCGACAGAAAGGCTGCAAGGTGCCCTCACACAGTCTTGCCTTCATTTTCGGAAGGCAACTGTGCATGATGTGCTACCCGAACAGGTTGGTCCAGGCTATCTCATGCTGTCTCAGCATGTTAAAATATGGCTTAAAGTGACTGACTGCTCAGTGTTATTGGTACCTGTAGGCGAAATACGTGCGTACGCCAGCCTGGGCACTCCCAGCCTAACTGGCAGGAGATGAGCACGCTGAACATAGGAACTGTTGTGGAAGCTTCTCAGCCAGCTGTCTTGTGAGCATCCGGAGATGAATTAGCTCACTCCGCCCCAAGCAGGGCATCTTCAGAGTGGCTTGGCATAGACCTGGAGTTCAGCAGCTGTGGTAGATGGATGCACAGGGTGCTCTAGAGGATTGGTCCAAGATAAATGGACAAGAGGCTGAAGCTCCTTCAGCACATGTTTGCTAGGCTGGAGGTGCCAACTATGCGCAGTGCTAAAGAGAATCTGAGAAAGATGGAAGCCCTGTACAAACTAGCAATGTAAACACGTTAAACTGAATTTTTATCACTGCCTTCTCCTCCTCCTAAACCCTTCCAGTTGTCATATCTAGCGACACAGAATGAAAGTCGTTAGTTAAGCCTTGATGGGGTTAAGGCCAAGGCTTTCTCACCCCGAATGACAGAGAGATTTTTTTGGCAGTAAACCGTTAGTCACCACAGGGAAACTAGAAACCAGGTGCCAATTCCATTTTAGTGGTCACAAATGCTGTGAGAGCGTTCTTCAGATGATGCCTTCCTGGAGGTGCTTCTCTGCATCCTGGAGGATGCGAAGTAGCTAGGGAGGTGGGAGGAGTACCAGCTGTAGCAAATTCACAAACCTGGGTTTCAGTCTCCCTTGTAAGGATTCAACACGAGAGCAATAGCAGATCCTTTTTGGTTTCTAGTGGAGATATTGGAGTTAAATTCTTGGAGACAGGAGGCTCCAGCAGGTCTGTAGCTGAACCTAAAACCTGGCCCATTTTTTTGAGGGAGAAAGCTATTAATTCCAAGGGTTTTTTGGAAAATACCACAGTGCTTCAAGGAAAAGAATGAAAAATAACCATGGACCACAGGCAAATGGAGACCGATGGAAAGGTTAGTAATTCTTGCCAATGAATTAATTCTGCCACAGGCAGACCCTCCTCCTTGCTGAGGTGTTAAGGGCTGTGGGAGACGAATAGTTAATGTTACAGCTTGGTCTCTCCTGCTGCTTACCATGCACATATTCGGAAAAGCTCTGAGGCAGTTTAAATTTTATTAACTATGGGCTAATGCCCTGGAGAGAGAACTCGATCTCTGGATGCACTCTCAAGAAGGTGGCTTTGAGGGAAACTGCGGACAGCAATCTCTGAGGCAGTTTGTTCTTTTTTCAAGGGTTTTGTTTGTTTGGGTTTTTTTTTCTTAAATTGCTGAAATATAAGAGGAAGCGGAGCCCAGCTATGAAGCTGAGAGGTAGCAGGAGCAGCTGGAGCAGCAGCAAATGGTTTTCTTTTTCTTTTTCTTTTTTTTTTTCCTAATCTGTAGAAACCTGTAACTAAATTCTCTCGAGAATTCTCTCCCGGGGAAAAAGCTAAAAAGCTCCTTGTTTTAAAGCCTCAAGCTCACCCTCCTCACAGAAGCGACTCTGAAACAGAGCCCGGCCTCCCGTTAACCCTTTCTTGTGCTTGGCTGCTTCGACTCCACAGGTCATAAGGTTTACCCACTGGAGAGGGGACACTTTTGCTCGCGAATTGCGAGCTCCGGGCACAGCACAAACAAGACACACGCGAATTAAAAAAAAAATAAAATAAAAAAAAGAAGAAGACAAACCAGCGGGGCTTAAGCAGAGCAATCTCTAAGCGACCTGTCCTTCCAGACGGTGCGAATTGCCGGG